TCTTCTTCGTTCTTTCATTATTTTCTGTGCTCCTTTCCAGTAGCCTCTTGATGTTAAAAATATGCCTGCATTCAATCTGTATGTATTTCTGACACTGTTAGATATATACTTAAACTCCAGTCTCAGTTTTTAACCTTTTTTTATCATAAGTGATGGTTAAAACCAGTAAATACTTATTTAGCTTTGGGTTACAGAGATTTCAGATTTAATTTATGCATTCAATAATCAATGTAACAGTGGGATTCTGTTAGAGATCCAATCATGTGCTTTTTCCCTTCTCCAATTCTATGTAAATAAGTGGACAAGACATATGTTGCCCTGATTGATATTTGACCAGCTGATCTGGATTTAGATCAGATGGACAATATAAAAACAATAATTTTGCCCCTCAGATCTTAATTCCCCCTCATCTTTAAAATAGCAAAAGCACTGTTCTAACAAAGTATATTTGCTCTCAGAATTGCAGGTACATGATTTTTCTGGATATTCAGTTGTGAAACATTTCTTATTTTCATTTTTTATGGTATCATTGCTGTGAATGACACCCTATCTTACCAGAACCCAGAAGACATTTCATTAGGCAGTATATTAAAGTGTGTAGCTGTTTTACAGATTGGGTCTAAAATAAGAGAATTTGCTTTCCCTTTTTGTTCAGTTACCTGTTAAGGAATAAACACCTACCTTTACATATTTTATGTAGGTTTTTTTGACAGCCAAAGTTAAGTAAAGGTAGCTGTCTGGATGTTTATATGCTTGTTTCATCTATTATTCAGATACATCACTTATATAATACTTTTCATAATGAGTTGTGATTGAGATGTTTGTACACCATTTTTGTATGAGTCAAAGACCACGTAGCTCAGGAATCTCCTTTCAAAGTTCTGGTTGTCTTGCACTATCCAGTCTAAAAGTTCCTTCAATTCAAGATCTCTAGATCCTTCAAAATCAGATTCCTATTTTTATTCACAAGCACAGTAGACTGCAACAACACAAACACACCTAATGGACCTCAGCTGAAGGAGGACACATTCTGCTCCATCACCCTGTCTCCATTTCCATTCTAAATCTTCTCTAAATTGCTATACAGTGTGATAATTTTTTCTTACAGAGTGGGCAATTGCTGCACCAGAAACTGAAATGGTTCTTCAAACAGCTTGGAAGAGCTTGATAACTCCTTGTTATCAGCTGCAGGGTTCGTAGCAGCAGAGAAGGATAGCAGTTGCCTACTGGAAACCTGGAACCTCTCCAGACTCTCTGGAATTCGCCATTCAACATACAGAATATTTCAGACCTTGCCTGCAGTTTTAACATGGAAAAAATTTAAAAGTGTAAATCCTTCCATTCTGCTGCGTTTGTGCTCTGATTACTGACAAGCAGAAATATTCCAGCAATGCCAGGAAGAGGTTAAGAATGTTACCTATCCTTAAAACAAGAAGGTAGAAGAGAGCTGGAAGGAAGATTGTTTTTCTTTTCCCCAGACAGAAAAGGCAGTAATGGTACCGGAAAAGTAAAGCGTCTAAAAATTTAGCACAAAACCCCTCAAGCCACTTCAAACATATACACTCACCCACAACCACCCGCCCACCCACTCACATACACCCATATGTACTTTTTGAAATTATTATTTAATAAGGTGTGAACATACCCCTGGATTTCAGCTTAGGGCAAACTGTTCCAGAAGTTAACAGGACATTAGACCATTAAATTATTTTCCTGTCATTTTATCCTCGTTTCTTGTTTTAGAAAGAACAAAAACAACCAATAATATTGTTAAGCAGGAAAAAATGAAAGAATAATGCCATGCCAACACCAACATCCCTCTTCCCACACTCTGTTTTCAGATGTTAAAAAAATTATTCCCATTAAGTTTTCTGAGTGGACAAAAATGTAACAGAGGTTATTTTTTGTGCATTTTTTGCTTACCTATACAAGATGGAGGAAGCCTGAAGCATTAGGACAATGCTGGTAATAGGAGGGTTATGACAGCATTTAGCTTAATGGTAGACTTCACATTTTTGGTTCCTGTTGACATGGTGGCCCATCTGTCCCTCAAGTTTGCCCTGTTGTCCCTCAAGATGAGCAAAACTGAGTAATCCTAAAGATTCAATGCATTCCCAAAAGAGACAACACTTGGGCACCACTGTATTTGTTCACTCCTTTTCAAGGGACACACCTTTGGATTCACACTGTTACCTTCACAACCCAACATATAAAACCCATCATTTAGGTCCTGCATGGTGACAGGCCATATTCCTAGCTCCAGTCAGCACTGGCTTGTTAAACATTGTTTTTCAGAAGTTAATTACTATTCGGTGTAGCTAAGAAATTAGGATTCAGTTAATTACTATTACTATTCAGTGTAGCTAAGAAATTTGGATTCCAGTTGCATTTGATGGGCGTTGGGAATGGTGTCTCTTGGCTAATTAAAACCTTTTTTGTAATGCAGAGCAGAAGAGGCAAATAGGCCTCATATTTGATTTGAAGGCCACTGATTCCTTGTGTGAGGATCTGATAGGGAGCTGTGTTATGTTTAATAGTATATTCATCATGTAGATGAGATGAATTGTGTAAAACTTGCTTAAATAATGTGTGCACACTCTGGGGTATCTATGTGTTTGAGGACAAAGAGCTGAAAGAAAGTGAAAGTATCCTATTAAACCTAATTTAAGAATGGCTTTAGCATTTGTGAAGTGTAGGGCCTCATTAAAGCCACCATTCCTGGAATCCAGGCAAAACACTTTGCACAATTCAACTGTTGTTTCTACAACTAATTATTTTTATTTTCTAATATATGCCTTGTACCACGAGCAAAGAGCAGATTTCTTCCCCCATTCCATTTAGCACAGCTTCAAATGCTTACAATAAAGGTGAGTGCATTTTACTGCTCTTTGGCTGCAGCTAATTTTGTTCTATAACAAAACCAATTAGACTGGTGTAGTCCCAATTTTTCCCCCTCATTTCCAGCTGCTGAACCTGGATCTCTCTCAAAAGTACTTTCTTCCTTAGCCACAATATTTTTTTAATGTCATCATCTACTGATTGTTGTTTGGTTTAAATAGAAGAGATGAGAAAGCAATGGAACAGGCAGCTTCAGAACAAAAATTGGAACATGAAGAGACACTTCAAGTCTTTGCTTTTCTACTGATGAGGCAATCTCTATTTATGAAAAATAAATTAATTCCCTGCTTATGTTTGCTGTTTTCCTAGTTATATGCATTTTCACCATTAATTAATGGAGAGATGAGAGATGGCAGAACAACAAGCCCTGTGCAATATGAATGGATGCTTGGGCTGACTGAATAGCTATTCTCCTTCAAGCATTGTTTTAGGTGGTGGCTGCATCAAGGATAAGACTCTTTCTCCCTTTTTGTGGTGCATCCTGAGCAGCCGCTAGAGACCTAACCATACATCTGAATAAAGGGTAGGAATCTTACCAAGAGGCAAAACATTAGTACGGCAGATAATATAATGTTCTGTACAGAAAAAAAAAAAAAAACCACTCCTTGGTTTGCTTATTTAAAAAAACCAATTCTCTATGGAGACTGTTGGAGAGAAGCAAGTTCTTTCTAGCTGTCCAGCTCCAGTGCATGTTTAGTGCAAATAGATGTATTTGACTACTGGCCTGTCTTGAAATTCTTCCTCTGTAGGTCTTTTGTCTAGTTTAGATGTCATTTAGATGTCATAGTGTAAACAGGTGCTGTGTCTTTGTCTTATGTTAAAATAGCAAAGGATCAGAGGGAGAGCACCTAGCCTTTTACCACCCATGTCTGTGTTGCATGCTAATTACTTGCTACAGTATTAAACTATTTTTGGTAGGTACCAAGAAAATTTCATCCCTTTTTTTAAGATCTGGCTAAAAGGAGTAAGGAGCTACAGCATCTTCACATTTCCTGAGAAAATAGTGTGCAATAACTGGAGAAGAGAAGATCCTCCATACTGCTATATTCATGCTGTACACGCTAACGTCTTGTTAGGTTTTGGAAAAAGTTCCATATAATGCCTAAAACACAACACATCCTTAAGAATGACAAGAGTGTATTTAAAAACTTAATATTAACAACCTTAACAATCTATCCTAGCAGTAAAATGAAGGAAAGTGCAAGCAGGTAGAGAAAGTTCCTTAAAAATGTGATACTCCTTTAATCCATGTAAGCTTGTCACAGAGCTCTGTAATAAAGCTAAGTCATGTGAATTTGTAGTTAAAAGATGAACCAATTAGAGACTGAATAATTTGTGATATAACTGATAATAGGTCAAAGCAAGGTTATTGCAGGAAATGGACTTGACTTTGGAAAGAACATTGGATATTTGCAGGGCTAGCAAAAACAGCTTCTCAAATTAAAGTGTTAGTAAGCAGTGAAAGAACAGAAGTGAATCTCATTAAGAACAAATATAAGGGTATATTAGGGTATAAAATCAGAATCAAGGACCACAGTCAGTGAAACAAAACCAATACAATGAGGAGGGCAATATTCCATGTATGATTTGAAAGAAATCATGTTTAGTTTTCATTCCAATGTGGACTTTTCTTTTCAAAAAGGAAGCCATTTATATGTGCATTTGGTATTTAAATAATGCAAAAATCCAGAAGAAGCAGGCCAAAATTGCAGCTCACTTATTCTCAAAGCATGCACAATACCAAAGATACGGCGAAGAAAATCATAGCAAATTATCTGCAGTACAGTAAGAGCAATCTCTACTGCTGGGCTTCCGGATGAAGTCTTCCTCATGACAAGACTGTATTGACAAGTCTATCTCTGGTTTACTTCTCAAGAAGTAAATGGCAAGGCACCTAGATGAGTTTGACAAGAGATATATCTATACACAAAAAAATGGACCTCCACCTTCTTATGGAACCTGTTGCTTTGCTTTCTGTTAAAAAACCCACCATGCCTACCCCTGGCTGAACATTTTACACACAACTCCAGACAACCACACCACTCCTGCTCATATGATGACACAAGGGAAATATAATGTAAAAGGAGGCAGTATAACACATATAAAGCACAATATTTTTTATTTAGAACTCCACAAAAGAACTAAAAACCCCCTTAAGTATATACACATACATCCAAAGATGTCAAAATCACACTTCTCATCTTGACTGTAAATGTAAATGGAGAAACCATCCTTTCTCACACCTAGGGCTGTGAGAAATATGTTTTCATATGGGAAACACAGAGACTATGACATATGTCACAAAAGTCTAAGTAACACATACATTTTTTTGTTCTGATTTGTCTAGTGACCACTTCAAAATTTTTTCTATTTTTGCCATCATTCCTAAAGATGCCTATTTCTTTGCCTTGTTACATCCTGTGCTATAATGGTATCACCTCAGTCTCCTTGGGTCTTCCATACATGTACTGGCATGACTGGAATTTCTGTGAAAACATAAAGAAAACATAAGGATTTAGAGTGGATTTGCAGGTGCAGGAGAAAAAACAAGAGCTTGCCAGCCAAACTTTATTGGGTTTGCATGGCAAGCTTTTGGTAGGGCAGGGTTGCTGGGGTGGCTTTTGTGAGAAACTGCCAGAGACTTCCCCCATGTCCAAAAGATCCAGTGCCAGGGTCTAGGATGGAAGTGGTTAAAAATCTGCCCAAGAGCAACTGCAGCCTTAGAGAGGAACGTGAGAGGAGCTACTCTGCAGACACAAAGTCAGTGGAGAAGGAGTGTCGGGAGATTATCCAGGCATCAAAGCTGAGATTTCCCCAGAGACCCTGCTGCAGATCATGGTGAGGCAGATGTGTCCATGCAGCCCATGGAGGACCATGGTGGAGGAGAGATCCAACTGCAGCCCATGGAAGACCTCAGGCAGTCTTCTGAGGCAGGTCAATGTCTTTGAAGGAGTCTGTGACCCCATCAGAAGCCTGTGCTGGAGCAAGTTTGCTAACAGAATTTGCGATTCCATGGGAACCCACAGTGGAGCAGCCTATTCCTGAAGAACTGTATCCCATGGAAGGGACCCGCACTGGAGCAGTTAATGAACTACAGAACACGGGAAGGACCCACATTGGAGAGAATGTGAAGGAATATCTCCCATGGGAGTGATCCAGCACTGGAGCAGTGGAAGAGTGTGAAGAGAAAGAAGTGACAAAGTGTGTTGAACTCACCACAGCCCCCATTTCTCATTCCCCTGTGCTGCTGCTGGGATGAGGAAGAGAAAGAAGGCAATGAAGATGAACCCAAGAAGAAGGGAGGGATAGGGGAAGCTTTTTTAAAGATTTGGTTTTATTTTTTATTGTGTCATTATCCTACTCTGATTTGCTTAGCAATAAAATAAATTTCCCCATCAAATCAATTTTGCCCAGGACAGTGGGTGATCTCCCCCGAGCCTTATCTCAACCCATGAGCCTTTTGTTATATTTTGTATCTGTCAGATGAGGAGAGGAGTGACAGAGCTGTTTTATGGAAATGTGGTGTGAACTCACTACATAAACCCATTAATTAATTGCAGATGAAATGAAGAACCAAAGGGGAAGAAACTTTTGCTTTACAGCAACTTTCACTTCAAAGTATGTGAAGAGAAAAGAAAGGACAAATTTTCAATTACACAACTATACCATCCCCTTAAAAGGTGAACCCAGGTATTGCAGCACACTACCAGTCTCACCAGTGTTCACAATGGATTTTACTTTCAGGTGCAGGGAAGAAGCCATACTTCTTCATACAAGTGAGGATGCTGGAAGCATTACACTTTCAATAGTTTTATCTTTCCCTTTTCTTCATGTTCTGCAAGTTGGTCCAAGGAGTTGCTTTCAGAAGTGGAGCAGTGAAGTGAGACTTCCCAGAAAATTCTGCTTATAGACATTAGAACTCCAGAAAAAAAAAAAAACCAAAAAACCCCAAAAAAAACCAACCAAACAAAAAAACAGTAAGAGAAGATGGATGAATGTGCTCTAAATATTATGGAATTGAAGGTAAAGATGAAGTCCTTGAGGAAAATACTATATTAAAAACCAGTGACTTTTAAGGGTCACTGGAAATTCAGCCTGAAAATTTCTTCATTGTTAAAAGAAGTACTTTGAAAAAGGCAATGTAAGTGATGCTATCTGCCTGATTCTTTAAAAAAAACAGATTTTTACTTTTTTTTTTTTTTTTTTTTTTTCCTTCAAGCATGTAAATACAGTGCTTGGTAAATAAGCTGCAACATTTTGAATAGAAAAACTCACAGAAAAGCAGAAGCAATCAAAATGGGTGCCAAGCTATGAAGAACTGCTTTGATAATAGGGCTCTGGGAAAGAAAGGCAGCTCAGATATGTTGTCAAGAGAGATATGATGGAATGCAGCAAGAGTAAATAGGTGAATTAAGAAATTCAGCAGTACAGACACTGTTATGTTACCTTTAATTGTTCTGCAGAAAGATTTTACATCTCCTGAGAAGTACATATTTCTGACAAGCAAAATTGGCAGATATTTTGCTACAGAGAACCAGTGCAGAATATGTTCCTTCTCTGGAAAGGCAGGAGCTAGCAGCACTTAGTGGTATAAAAAACAGTCATTGTGATATGTATTACTTAGTAGCAATAATCTGAGTATTGGAAAGCATTCATAATTAATGCAACCCCACATCTTCATAATTACATGTTTGACCACTTCACAGACCAAAGAAAAAGAAAGGCAGACACCTAGCCAGGAGACGAGAAAGGAACAAAGCAGAACTTTTTTTTGTTCCCTAGTGATATAGTCCTAGTATATAAATTTAAACAAGGAGTATGTAGGATGAAAGATCAACTAGATTTGAAATATTCCTTACACATTCACAGAAAAGAAAAAAAAAAAAAAAAAAAAAAAAAAACAAAACAAAAAAAAACCTGGAAATTATCTTGTCTGTGTCCTAAAGCTGTACTGTATGTCAAACTGACAGATTCTTTATTTAACTTGTAATGATTTCTAGTTCTGGAAATCCCACAACCTTTCCAGCCAGCCTGTTCTGTGACTGCACTATCCCTAGTGTCAGATAATTCTCCTGTGCCTAAACCTAGCCTTGCTACTTTACTTTCTATTCATCACGGACATGGAGAACCCACTATCCAATGATCTTCCTACGGGTCTTTTAGATATTGCCATAAAGTTTGCATGTTACCTAAAGGCTGTTATACTATCCTCCACAAAGGAGTGGTATAACCTGTGTATCACAAAGCTGTTTACACAGGAAAAATGATATCTTCCCTGAAGAATAAAGTGTACAAGCCTGATGAGTTAAAAAACTACATACTGATTGTGAAATTGTCCTCTTGTTCATGGTGCACCATTGAATGTGCACATATCTGCTCTGCAGATGACAAATTCGGACCTGTACTTTGGATGTCATCCACAGAATTTTTAGGTTGCATTGCCAAAAATAAAATCTACATCTGTCTCATTCAAACCCAAAGAAAACCAATTATGGATGAGTTCTGATCTCCACTGAATTCATAGGAAGGCTAAGCAATAAAGCAGAATATGGACAGCTCTTTGACAAGTCAAGGTGTTACAAATGCAGGAGTCACAATCTCACCTCAAGTAGATAAAGTCTGCTTCAGATAATGATATTCCAGACCAAGCTTGCAATCAGATGACCGTTGCTATCTGCAAGCCATTGGGTACAGCTGAATATAGGCATAGCCATCTCATTTGATTCAGCTTTTGTGTGTCCAGCTGAAGATGGGCCAAGGATTTTCTTCTCAGTGGACCATGAATTGAACTGATAAAATCAGGTGCTGTCTATAGTTTCCAGTAATGTACAATGCATTTAAAATTACTCATTATTTCTGAAAATGTACCCCATAAACTTTTTCTACTGAAGTCTGTTCTCCATTTTTAAGTTCTACCTCCTGGTGCCAGATTAGTGGCATATCTTTCACATCTTCCAAATTACTTTAAAATGGACTTAGTTTTAAAAGCAGGACAGTAGCCAATTCCTCCAGAATAGGATTTAGTATTTTTCTGTTGTCCCTGATACGTACATTGTGCAAGATGATGTTTTAGGATGGCTGCCTCATAAAATTTTCCTCCACTAATATTCAAGATGGCAACATTTTGATTTCTAAAACACACTTTCTTGATACATCAGTTTTGAAAATTTTCTGCTTTTTCTAGGTGAGTTACTTGTCCCTTAATTATGTTTGGATGTTGCTTCTGGCTGTGACCCAGAAAGAGGGTACTTGTCTTGCCATAACACCATAGTTGGCTTTAATTTTAACATTTTTTGGCATATTCTTACAGCCATTTCTAGATGTATTTCTGGTGAAGAAAGACTGGTCTTTGGGTGTTTGCCAATGGAAACAATGGCAAAGCCTTTTTTTTTTTTAAATTTGAGCTGAAAGCAGTCTGATAAAATGAAGTTTCTGCAATTTGTTGAATTATTAAACTAAGCAGAAATTGTTAATAATTTTAAACAAGAGAACTTACAGGTTTCTTCTCTTGGTCTCACTCAACTTTAATTGCCCTCTTTGAATTAATGCTCAAAGACAATTATTGTTTATATCACAGCAACACCTAGAGGTTCCTACTGAAATCAGAATGGTCTGCACAAAGTACAGAAAAGTGAGACAACTCATATTCTGCAATACAAAGTGGTCAGCAAAAGAAAGAGCAGAGGAAGCAGTAGGAGCCAAAAGAATGTGCCTGTGCTCACAAAGGTGCTGAGATGCACCTTTGGCACCTAAGTGGCAACCCAAATATCTCACCATCCTGCTTCTAGAGATCATAGCCAAAACCAGATGGACACCAGCATTGCACTTATTCTGGGACCCAAGCTGCAGGGAACACAGCGCTGGGGCAGTCCCCACAGGCACTAGTGGAAGAAAAGCACCTGTTAGGGTAAACACATCCAAGAACAGCCCTATCTACATCACAGCAGAATTTTGAGTCTAGAGCAGTGCTGGGAGGAGTGTGAGGAATATGAGGAAGTGCATAAGGAAGGAGTGGTTTGGCTTATCAAAATGTTTTATAACAGCTCTGCTTCTATGTAGTTTTGGAACTAACTAATGATTTAGAAATGACAAATGGAAAATGTCTGGGCTCACTTTCTCAAGCTCCTGGGGTTAAATAGGGCTACAAAATATCCCAGGGTTTGGAAACCACCTAGCAATGTACATTCATTTTTGACTGCAGGTTTTTATTGGAGCTTTAGTGGAGAGAGTTTCAGTTTTGAGGTTAAATTATTGGTTGGAGAGGACAAGAACGGACAAAAGACAAGGGGTACCACATACAACCTGCAAGCTGGATGTGTAACAAGAATGATTTGGAAATACTGCAAAGAGCAAACTGATCCTGGTGGTAGTGTCAATAGCCTCCCCTGTGAGCACTAATTATATTATTACAGAAACAGACTAACACAAAACTAAAGCACAAAAACATACATTTAAGATCTGGCCAGATGCCAGTGTGCTCAAGGTACATTCTTCATAGCAGCAGTATGATATTTTGTTATTTGTTTTGCTGGACTGCCCAGGAGCACTAATGGTCAACTTATGTTCTCCTGTGGTCCATGCATAAAAATACAGAATGCAAACATATCACCTACCTGCAAAGAGATCACAAGGTATATGCAAGGTCAAAGGGGTACTGGCAGCCTAAGATGGTGTACTCCAGTGAAATGGCCATTTGTCTCCACATATCCATTGTCTGCCTGTTATTAAAGCACAGAACTTTGAAAAAAGGCTTTGAGGGACAGCATTACTTTAATGATGTTTTCAGTAATATTATCATTAAGGAAGCATATGGATTTTTTTTAGTAATGTCTCATTTTGCCTGCAATCCTCTTACTTCATACCTATTAGAAGAAATGTTCCAAACCAAACATATTGTGATGTATTGTAATGAAAGAGGTCACTTAGACAAGCATCAATAGCTGTTTGTGAGAAAACAAGGACATTACAAAAAGTATATCAGCCCCTTGGTTGATGCTTCAAGTTTAAATAAATAGCATCTTCCATTTCCTGGATTGCAAATAGCAAGTTTTTCGTAATGGTACTTAAGCAATTAAAAAAAACAGGGAGGAAGGGGAAGACTTTATTTTTGGTGGATCAGATGATGCTGATCCACCAAAGACCCACTTTAATTTTGGTGGATCAGATGACGTTGGAGAACGTTTGTGCATGTGAGGCGAATGACGGGGCATGGGGCCAGAGCCACATGGAGCGGATTTGTATGCAATGGGAATAAATCTGTGAAAACGTGTAAGAATTGCTGCAGAAGGAAATCTGCAGCCGCCTGAGCCAGGCAGTTGAATGGCAGAGAGGATGGAGGCTATTTGAATACTGATGTGGCCCTCACTTTCTTCCATTTCCATTAATGACATGCTCATCAAGGGCAAACAATGGGACCGGCTGCCTGCGCCTGTCACACTGTGTGGGTGCTGGGAATGCCAGGCTGTCATCCCGGGGCTGCATTTAGAGACCTGCACGCTAATAAGAAGTGCTCTCTGCCGTCAATGCAGACAGGTGCTTCCGAGGCTGGGACATGCTCCATTCCCTTTCCCTGAAACCCTCCTCTCCCGGCCCCCTGACAGACACCATGAAATGCACAAATTAACAGCCCCATCATGTTGGGCTGCTGCTGCCTGCGGTGAAAGCAGAAAATCAAGTTGTCACCCAGGGTGCAGTGATAAAGCCACAGCCTCATTTCTCTGTTGGTGCCCTATAATAGCAAATGCCAGACAGCTGGATGGATTGGGAGGTTTTAGATTAGGGTCCTGATGCACTTTGGCCACTGAATTAGCAGTTGCTGTTTTCATGCAGATTATTTGTGTGCAAAGCAAACATCTGGAGAAAGCAAAGTCTCTAGGGTCAGATATTTGATACTTCTTTCCCCTAATGAAGCAGAAATAACAGAAATTCTACAGTGTCTACATCGGGAGATTCTACATCTCCCCATCAATGAAAAAGGAAAACCCTTCCTGGATTTGCCTTTAGAGATCTTCACAGCAAATGCCTAAGGCTATGCTTGCAAGCATTTGTGCACAGACAAACTGACAAGAATCTCAAACCTAGATGTGTGCTGAATTTTACAACAAAAGTGGTTGGAGAAAAGTCACAGCAGGTGTCTTTGGGAAGGAAAAAGAAAGGGTGAACACTCAGAAGTACTTTTATTTCCATAGTGCAACATACCTCTTTGCCAGCAGGTTCTTCCCTGTCATCAAGACTGACTGCAATGAGAGGGTCAGGCCATTTTCACACGAGTGGCTCAGCTGGAGTTGAGAATTGATGTCGAGAGCTCAGAACCCAAAGTGCGTCCACAGCCACCCTGAAACTCCAGTTGTCTCCTCACAAAGGCAGGTATATGAGCTTCTGAATTAAAAAAATATCCAAATGGAAGCAAAGAGAGCCATTGACAAGGAAAGTGATGACGGACAGAGACTGGACACACAGACATTTGCCCCACAGCAGGCACTGCACCAGTGATAAGGAACAGAGGGGCCTAAGCCCTTCAGAGTCCATGGAGTTTAATGACATAATGGCCTGAGAACTTCAACATAAAACAGGAAGAGCAACTAACGAAACTTACAACATAAAACCCCCCTCCTGTCATTTTTATAGTAATAGTAAAACACTTTATTGAATTTATGAGCTACATAATGACTATGAAGAATGTAACTTGAATTAGAACCAACTCAGAAGTATAATATCAACTATAAACCCTTTTCTATTACACCATCTCTTTATCATCATCCTATCTGGCTCTTTTTAAAACAAGGAATATTGCTTTTTTCAAAATTTAGTCTGAGATCCATCTCTTAACTTCTCAATAAATCAAGAAAACACCAAGCATCTGTAACAGAGACAGAGCCAAAAAATCAAGGTATGGAACAAGCAGATTTTACAGCTAGAGTTAGGAAATTATTGAAAACCAAAAAAAAAAAAAAAAACAAGCAACATTTCTGTGAAGACTGTGACTAGGAAGGCATGGAGGAACATCCTGAATCCTGAAGGCTTTGCTTGTGAAGCTGTGTAGTGAGGCATAGCACAGCATTATTAGGTGGTTCAGGCCCCAGAATATGTCATCAGCACAGACCTTTGAAACAAAACCACAACTCCACAATTCAACCCCTGAGCAGTCTGGAAGTCCATTTAGGAGCAGAAGCATTAGCAGGACTTTGTAGCACCCTCTCCAGAGCCCTTTCATACCCATGGTTTGACATGAACGATAAAGTCTGAGTAAAGCTGGAGAATGCATTGAGGGGCTGTTTATATCCAGATCCATTATTTTTGCAGAGGAGTTTGTAAATGAATAATTGTGGGGGAGGGAAATGTACATAACACAGCTATAGCAGAATGTTTTACTGTGTTTTCTGATTCCATTTTACTTCTTTAGTCTCTCTGGTCCCCAAGGATTTTTCTGAAGGGCCGATAAAATAAAATGGGTGAAACAAAGCCATAAGCCAGTTAAGTCTGAAAGACATGTCATCTCATCTAAAAAGAAGAAATGGACCATTTCCATGCCTAGGGCTGACAGCAACGCCTGAGCTAGCAATAGTGCTATTCCATTTGATTTATAGAATAATGGGGTGACAAATGATGACAAAAATAAACTTTTACTGCACTGAACTGCTCCTTTATTTATGAAATTTGGCCAAGTAGTGAAATCTTTTATCTGCAAGTTGTAACATGGAGTGGAAACGACCGATTATGGTGTGGTAATAGTAATCCAGTGATGGAGGCCGAGTCAGTCGGAAATGGATTGAGGTAAAATAACTACCGCACCATGATAAATGTGAACAGCGCTTTGCTGACAGATGATCTAACAGGTGTTCATAACAACTATATAAGAGGATTTATTTATGACTAGCCACAGCCGCAGCACTGTAAATCAACTCCAGCAGCTGCACACCACTGAAACCAAGTCCCTGATGGAGAAACAGTGCAAGAACCCAAAAGAACACAATTCACTCCAGAATCTTAATCATCAAATAACATGTTTTTTCAAGCAATTACACCACAGTGCAGAAATCAAAATTACTTTCAATTACATGAAGCTGAGCCACCAGCTAACTTTGCCCAAGCCCAGGCATTGGCAGAGGCCCACAAATCCATATGAAGCAGAACAGTTATTTTTTGATTCAGTATCAAAGAGGTGCCTTTTTTATTTTCCGATAAAAGTAACCACTTTGGTGCTGTTCTAGCATAGTGCTGACACACAGAAAGTAAGGGCAAGAAGAAAAGAATGGGAGTACACTTTGCCTTCCCACAGTGTACTCCTTCCTAGCTGTGTCAAACGTCTGTAGGGCTACAGTCCAAACTGTATCAATGAAATTACTGGATCACCAAAATCAACCCCCCATCCCACCAAAACACTGCTCTCTCATAGAATATGTTATGAGATTTTTAAGCCCAAATGATCCTGCTGTTTTGCTTTAGGGGATACACCTGCAAACATATAGAAAGACAGCTGAGGGAGGAATTAGTGGTACCAAGCGGGATGAGTTCCTGGTTTTTTGACAGTATTGAAAAAATGTCTAAAGAAATAACTGAACTGGTGTCTCTTTCTTCTCTCCTACCTCCTTCACAAGTGATGTTTCAGAGTCACTCACTTTTAAAAACGGATTCAGTAAGTGCTGGCATACTGTGCACTGCTGGTGCATACAAAGAACAATTAGGCGCCTAAAAGCCCTCACACAAATATACAAAATCAGGTAAAGCCAAAATGAAATTATAGGAGATTATAGATACTACAGGATCAAATTATTCTATGTGTTAAACACCATCTGCAAAGGGAGAGAAGTGCTCCACTGCAGTAAAGTATGCTGTTATATACAAGCAATTTCCTAGGTACCTTTAAGGAGATCAGAGGGTCTGCAGTGACCCAGGGCAGAGCCAGCTGCCCCTTGTGGACCTGCAGCTGGGGTCTGTCAAGGTCTCCAAGGGTGGCAGCTGTCACAACAGGGAGGCCTCAGACAGGTATAGGCTTCTCAGCCTAGAACTGCCCCCAGCAGATGTGCTACAGAAGGAAAAGAGCTGATGCTGCCTCTCCAAAGGGTCCTACCTTCCCTACACCTCCCTTGCCCACTGTGTTCCAGCTGCTGGGCTTAGGGTGCTGCTGTGAGCCCAGACCAGTGGGTGTCCCATGGTCCAAGACACGGCTGAAGCTCTGGAGGGTGGCTGGAAGCACCAGGGTGTTGTGCCTGGCAGCTGAACACCTGCCAGTCACGGCTGCTACAGGAGAAGGTCTTTCACCACCTCCCACCACATGTCCAGACTCCACCAGTGTTTTCACGGGATGGGAAGGTGTCCAGGACCCAAGTGCACTCTTTCCTGAACATGAGCTGTGACTTGTCTGCTGGTTTTGCAAGGCTTAGTCTAAATACCTCCCATCAAGGAGAAAAAACAGGTGTGGGCTGAGCCAGAAGGGGATATGAAGGTGTGGATGGCAACTCACAACTCATATGCTCCCTAAGATGGTGCTACGGGCAGAATCATCTTTCCTCTTCTCTGAAAGCCATGACTGGGCAAGTCACCAGGAGCAGGATGAGAGCAAGCCAAGACCTGAAGAGGACTGGAAAAACAGTGGTGGAAGCCAGCAAAACTCACTTTTCCCCTCTCTCCTACTTATGGATGATAGAAAAAATGAGTTTAGAATAATATTACGTGTAAAGATTTTTTTGTGTTGGAAGGGACCTTAAAGACCATCTAGTTCCAGCCCCCCTGCTAAGGGCAGGGATGTCACTAACTGCACTAGGCTGCTCAGGGCCCCATCCAATCTGTCCATGAACACTTCCAGGCACTGGGCATCCACAGCTTCTCTAGGCAATATAAAACTTGCCTCTGTGGCAATATAAATGTATATGCACCACAATGTACACAATTTAGGTGAATCAGGATTTGTGGCACTACAGTCACAGCAGGGGCTCAAGAGTTACCAGACATTGAAGAGTAGTTCATCTTGCACCTTTTGAGGCAAAACCAGTTATCTGAGGGACTGGAAATGCAGTGGCATTCACATTTCTCTTCCAAACAGATTAACTGGACTGTTCTATATAAAAACACAATTATACCAGCTGAGATAAGGACAGCAGAATTACTACTTTTATCACAAAGGGTCAGGCACAAAGGCTCCTATGAGCAATCAAACCACATACGTAAACATAGCAAAGCATGGCTTCTGCACAACAAAATGTTTTACTATATAAGTGTTAAACAAGTTAAAACATTATGTAAAAATAAACAGAAATGTGTGGAAGGGGAAAACAATAAACTATTAGAAAAAGAAGCTAACAGAGTCCAATCCTCACTTACTTGTTTCAGGGCACACACCGAAAGTCAGATGAGGGCTTGGGACAATTTTATTTACCTGAATACTGCTTACCAGAAACCATGTTAGGGCATGTAAGCACTAAGTTAAAATTAATTCAAGCATGTAAGATACTGTATGCAAAACTAGGCAGTTCAGTAACTGAATATTAAAAAAAATATATTAACACTACTTTTGGCAATGGACCACTGCAAAGCAAAGTGTGCAAAAGGATTTCATCCTATCACCAAATACCAGCAATTAGCCCAAAGGCTCAAATAAAGGGAATTTAGAGACTTTGGGTTTTGTATCCTATCTAATATGTATCTGTATATTTCTTTGCTGATGTACACCTGCAGTGGATGACCAGAACTTAAGTATATGTTGTGTTTAAAAAACAGGGGAAATAAAAGTAAATGTCTTCCCCAAATTTAAATACATTGCTTTGGAAATGTTGCAAAATGTCACCTTGTTCCTGAGTTAGTAGAAAAGATCATCAGGAAAGCTCATCTTATCTTTTCTACGTAATTCATTATTTCTTATACTGTATCATGTCCCAGTTCTAAAAACACTTTCATTATTTCCACTATCCTTTCACATATTATTCTATTTATATCTTCCATTATTTTGTCTCTAGCTCCAGAACCATTTTTATTTCTGCTATTTTTCTTTAGAAATTAATTATTAGAATTAAAGCAGATATGAAGGAAAAAACCATTATCTTTTTATACAACATCATAAAATATCACAGAAAAATAAGTAGAAATATTATATTATTTTTAGTGTCATGCATCAAGCCTATGTTTATATTCTGCCATCAAGAGTAACCAAACAATTTCTCCTTGCACCCTATTCTTTCAAAATGGTTCATTTTGGAGTAACTGAATTTGAAAGTTTGGTTGTTAAAAAGAAAAAAATAAAGAAAACCCTTACTCTTCACTAAGGAGAATATGCATATTTCTGTAGAAACAACCAGGCAGCAAAACAAAGGTAAACTATCAATCTCTCACTATGCAGAAACTTTCTTACCTGTTTGTCCTTGCTCTTGCTAAACAATCCTTTATGTCCGAGTTGCCAGCACTAGTCTTATAGCTTGTAGCAGACCACAGTATTTTTGTAGTCTTTTTGCAGTTCAGTACCTTCAGCATGATTAAAGTTAATAAAATGACACTCCAATTTCTCTTTATGGTAGCATATGTGAGTTGGTAGTTGTTATTTTTTTCCTGTTTCTGAGTGTTCTGTTGCATTTGAAACCTTGCTAATTTAAGTAAATAACCCTCACCTCCCACTCCTTAAACTAGACTTTGATACAGGTGCTAACTATCTCAGCAAAACCCACGCAGCAGTCCTGCAGTACCATGCTTTAGCCTTCCTGCTGTGCCTCGAGCTGTGCATGCAGGCTTGTTCCAAGTGTGCCCAGGCCTGGGTACCTGCTGAAGCCAGGCGGCTCTCAGTCTGCAGCCCCTGACTGATTGGCCTGCTCACAGAGGTAGGAGCTGCTGCTACTTGGTACAAGCAAATCGCTCCAAAGAGAATTTTAGATTGCAATTTAGACTAGGCATCAACCTTTAATATGCCTCTATAAATGATTAAAAGATTGGAAGAACTGAGTACAAAAGATATACAACCAAACGAATAAACTATTGTTAACTACTGCTACTGGTTCAATTATGACTGAGTGCAACTTCCACTGTTAATGTAAGAAAGGTACACATGATTATGTTTAGATTCTTCAAGAGCTGAGTTTTAATACATGCAGAAATATATGGCTATTTAAATACCAACCCTTAAATAAACTTTATCTCCAAATTACTGCTTTGGGAAGGCAGCATGAACATTCAAATCACAATATCATGCTGTCCTGACAGTCTCAAGAGGTAATGCTGCCTACCAGGGACTAAAATCCATGATGCTGCCAAGAGGGTAGCCCATGTCAAAAGCATGGACCACAGCCTGGTACTCCTTTCTCAAGTAAGTACAAATGATGCCACAAGCCAAAAACTAGACAGTGTGAAAAGCTGTCCCTGAAGAATATCCATGAGCAGGTGGAAAGCCTGTGGGTAGGAGTCAGAGAGCGAGGCAGCAAAAGGAGCCTTTGGCTGGGGTCTGCTACAGCCGCCTGGCCAAGGGGAGCCCCTTGACCAAACCTTCCTGCTCCAGCACAGGAGGCATTGTGCCCGGGGGTTGTGTCCTGCAGGGGGATCTCAGCCACCCCAGCAGTTGTTGTAAAAGCAGCTTGGAGAGCTGTGGCAATGCAGGAGACTGCTGGAATGTGTGGAGGATAACTGCCTGAGCCAGGTGACAGACAGCCCTGCTGGAGGGAATGTGTTACAGGATCTGTTGGTCACAATACAAGCGAGCTAACTGGGACACCAGGAATGCAGGCAGCCTGGGCTGCAGGGATCATGCACTGGTGGAGCGTGCATGAGGGATAGGGCTTAGGTCAGGAGTGAAAGTTCAGCTCTTGGACTTTAGGAAAGTAGACTTCCAGTCCTTTGGGAACCTAGTCAGTGGGATCCCCTGACAGACTGCCCTCAGGGACAAGAGAGTAGATGAGAGCTGGCAGATCTTTAAGCAGCTCTTCCATAGAGCACAAGAGCTGACAATCCCCAGGAGCAAAAAATCAGACAAGGAGGGCAAGAGACTGACATGGCTGAGTAGGAACTTGCTGGTCAAAATTAAGGGAAAGAAGCAAATGCACAGGTAGTGGCAACCAGGACAGGCAACCTAGAAAGAGTTTAGAGATGAAGCACAGTTGTGTAGGAAGGGATGAGAAAGGCCAAGGTGACAAAACTGGAACTGAACCTGGCAAGTGACACAAAGAATAATGAGAAGGGCTTCTACAGGTACATTAACCAGAAAAAGAAGGTCAAAGAAGGGGTAACCCCTCTGATAAACAGCACTGGAAAACTGGAGAACTGGTAACAACAGACAAAGAGAAGGCTGAGGTACTTAACAGCTTCTGCCTTAGTCTTCAATGGGAAACTTCCCACACCTCTTGACTGGATGGATAACAGGATGAGGACTGGGAGAGCCAAGTCCTTCCCACTGTAGGAGACAATGAGATTTGTGACCACCTGAGGAACCTGAATGTACCCAAGGAGATGCACCCCCGAGTCCTGAGGGAATTGGCTGATGTAATTGCGTGGCTGCAGGAAACACAGGTCCTGTCTGACCAAGGCAGTGGCTGTCAATGATGGGGTGACTGCATCAGTGGGTAAGGGAAGGTTATAGACATTATTTTTATGGATTTCAGTAAAACCTTTGACACAGTCCCCGACAATATTCTCTCCAAATTGGAGGGATTTGATGGGTGAACTGCTGTGTGGATTAGGAAGTGGTTGGAGGGTCGCATTCAGAGGGTCACGGTCAATGGCTCAGCTCCAATGGACAGCAGAGACAAGTGGTAACTCTCAAGGTCTGTACCAGTATCTTCATTAATGACATAGAGAGAAGGATAAAATGCATCATCAACAAATTTGCAGATGACACCAAGCTGAATGTACCTGACACCATCCAGAGGGTCCTGGACAAACTCTAGGAGAGGGCCCATAGGAATCTCATGAGGTTTAACAAGGCAATTGTGCAAGGTGCTGCACCTGGGTCAGAGCAACCCTGGCACCAGCACAGGCTGGGGATGGGCAGATCACGGCAGCCCTGCCCAGAAGAACTTGGGGGTGCTGGGGATGAGAGGCTGGACATGACCCAGCCATGGGCACTCCCAGCCCAGAGAGCCACACGTGTCCTGGGCTGCATCCAGAGCAGGGTGGGCAGCAGGGCCAGGGAGGGGATTCTGCCCCTCTGCTCTGCTCTGCTGAGAGCCCACTGCAGTGCTGCATCGGCTCTGGGGTACCAGCACAAGAAGGACAGGGACCTGATGGAGGGAGGTCAGTAGAGGCCACCAAGATGATCAGAGGGCTGGAGCAGAGGGAAAAGAGATTTGGCATTGTTCAGTCTGGAAAAGAGAAGGCAAGACTATTTACAATGACATGTAGAGACAGGACAAGGGTGAAAGGGTTTCAGTTGAAATTGAAAGAGAGTAGGTTTACATCAGATATTAGGAAGGAAATCTTTACTGTGAGGGTGGTGAAACACAGGTTGCCCAACATAATTGTGGATGCTCCATCCCTGCAAGTGCTCATTGCCATGTTCAGTAGGGCTCTGAACAACCTGGTCTAGTGAAATCTGTCCTGTTCCATGGCAAGTGGGTTGGAAGTAGATGATCTTCAGGGTCCCCTTCCAACCTAAACCACTCTATGATCAGTCAAAGACCAGTACCAAGAGTTATCGAACTACCTGTGTGCTGAAAAATATAAATTTATCCCAGAAACTCCACAACTACCCTTATTATACACGTTTCTGGGCTTCACTGCTAAAATGTATAAAGTACTCTAAGAAGGCAGAAAATACTCAGCAATGTGTGTGACTTACATAGCATTAATGTACTTTTCTTTGATTTATACTGTGGTATGAGATGCAATTCTTGTTTGTTTTCTCCTTTACAACCACGGCCAAGGTTTTTACAATTCAGTCTTTTCTCAGGATGCATGTTTCTGTATCTTTTCCTCATGATCTCCTCAATAGGTCTTAATATTAAAGATTATCTACAGACCAATCTGCAGTTCCCCTGAGACAACAGTAATTTCTAGAATACACTTTTATTCTGTTTGAATAGCTTTTACATCACAGTTGAAAACTAATTCAATAGCAAACTTATTGTAGGTTTGGGACTTCAGAAAATAATATGAATGTTGATTAAGAACATGTACATTTCTTTTTGAGTGCTAGAGTAAATTCTAGAACCACATTTTTCATATAAGCGCAAGATAACTGCCTTAAAAACCTAACCTCTCTTTAGCATTTGGAACCTCTTTTTAGTTCTACTAAATTTTAATTAAAAATTCAAAAGAACTTAGTGTGAAGCAAGACAACATTTTTGAAAATGCAGCATTTTGTATAAATCTAAACTAGAACAGCACTAGTTGGGCATCTAAGGACCATGCAAAGGTCCTGGTGACAGAAAAAGGTCACACTTACTCAAGTGTCTTCTCTGTAGCAGAGCCATGAGTTACTAGGAAAAAACATTTTGGAAGTAGGAGAACTGATAAGAAATGAAAAGGCTCAGCGTTTTACATCCTGCCATATAACCAGAATGTGAAGGGAAGGTCAAAATCAGTGACCTGACAAAATCACTGAGCTGTACCAAGAAAACCAGGTACACCAACTGGTGCAAGGCTATTGGTCTTCTCCAGCATAGTTCAGTTGATATGGCTATGAATTTCTCTCTGCCTCAAGACCTCGTTTATACAAAGTTGGGAAATGTTTTAGTCTAGTTTAAAAAAGAAATTTGAAATAAAGTTGAACTATTCATTAAGCTAGATGACAGTATTTGCCGCAACAGTCTAACAATCAGTATTTAATTTAATACACATTTGAACAATTCAATCAGTATTTTATGAGCAGGCCAGTTTGAAAATAGGCAGCTGCTGGCTTTGTTTATTAACAAAAATGTAACCGTATAGCAGACAATTATAGAAGCACAAACACTAGCTACTGTTGCAAGAACAATTTGCTGATATGTGTATAGTGCCCACCTCATTTGTATTTACTTTAGTTAACCAAGTATATACAATACCAGCATGTCTGTTACCAATTTTCTACCAAAACAAGAAAGAGGGAGCCTCTGTTCATAGCCACTACTTTATTAGCATCTTAACAAAATATTTGGGAAAATGACAGTAGGCAGGAACAATGTTCTCATTAGATGACTTCAGGTTTACAAGCTTCTAGAAAACTATTTTGCTGTACTTACTGTATTTTCACACATCAAAATTCTCTCTGAACCACATACTTGCTGTGTGTGTTGCTGGAACCCACCTGTCATTTGAACTCAGTTTTCAAGCAGTGTGATTTCCCTTGAACTTTATTACCTAGTATTTGTCCACTATGGAGGGGAGTGGAAACTGATGGGGAAGGAAGGTAGTGGGGGAAGGGAAGAGAGAGGGAAGGACTAGGGTAGAACAAATGGGAAATATATTTAAAAGCGCATATAACTGACAGTAAAATATATGTTCTTTGGTTAGCAAGCAGAAAAAAAGGAAAGGACTTGCATACATGATAGATACGCACTAGCATTCTAAAGCAGAAGACAAGAATGTCAAGAGTGTATTCTTTCCCCACTGCCAGATGGAAGGGCTATTATTATAAATGAAAGGCAGCAGTAGTGGATGCCAGGCACTTTTGTTGTGTGCCAGATTCTGAAGTCCAGATGTAAGCAGGTTACCCCTGGGACAGGACAGGCTTCAGCTCCCGCAGCAGAACAGAACCAATCACAGTTTTCTCAGTGTTTATGATGAGCTGTGCTGTAGAGCTCTCCTTCAGCTCCACTGTGACTAGCATCAGTGACCCACTGTGCATAGTCTTAGCTGCAAACCTAGAAGGAAAAGGAAAAATAAAAAAAGAAAAGAGAAAAATCACTGAGGATCTTAAGGTCAAAGACTGCTAATGTTTTTTTCTGCAAGAGTTAAATGAGCTCAAATTTAATAAAATACTTCTAAATTCATTAATGCATTTCAGGGGATAAACTATAAAACATCCTATAAATTCTTCAAACATTATTTATGTATGATAATACATGATATGTAAATATTTTTGCGTTTTATAAGGGCAAAGAAGTATTATGCAGAATTTTGTATGCAGTAGTACGAACTAAATCTTATTTAAATAATTGTAAATATAAATACTGATTCTTCAGTTTATCTACAATATCCACACACACTGACAATCTGACTACAGCTGTATAGAATTTTCCAAGGATTTTCATTAGTTGGTGCCCCAATGAGAATACAACTATGTTAATTGTAGTAGAACACATAAAAAAAGCCAAACTGTTGTACTTACTGAAATATGTCTCCTCCTGTAATCCCAGAAATTAATTCAATGTAAAACCAGTCAAAATTATAAATATACAAAACAATTCATTCAAAATGACAGTAGCAACAAGACAGTTATTCTGTGAAATTATCTGCAGAACCATAAAAATGTGGCCAATATTTTTGAACATTTTATAATTATTAAAAATCCTACATAAGAAACAAAAAAACTACCAACCAATCAGACAGACAAAAGTTAGGACTAATGCACCATTACTAAATTCCAAGACATGAAGAATCCACTAATTACACGGAATTAAAAGCAAAACTAGCCTTTTAAGCACCACAATTGACTGAAAAGCCATTTTAGGCACAATGAACTTCTGTCAATCCTGTTAATTCATTCTGTGTGCAGAGCCAGGCCCAAGAGACAGGAAGCAAGAGGATGGCAACAGCGTCCATCTTTCCATCTTCCACAAGGAGCACAACATGCTCTCCCCCATTCTTGGTTACTTCTCAACAACAAAGTTGCTGCACATGGGCTTTTGAAAACACTAACAAGTGTAGAGCAGGTCTGTGACCCTGTCTAACCCCACTTTGCAGGGCCAATCTCCCCTCCTCTTTCTGAATGACACGTGTCTGAATCAGAGCCATCTGCCTCAATTTGCGCAACATCTTCAGTCACAATAGGACCCAGTTAGCCCTGACAACAGCTCACAATACAGAAAAATCAAACTGCTGCGCTGACAGCACGCTGTGGGCTATTCAAGAGCAAACCAACTGGTCAGTGTCTCCTGTCTGACAATCAGCATGGGCCTTGCAAAGCGCATACCCAAACCCTTGGGGATCTGTTTAATTACCATCAACATAAAGGAGGGAGTTTATCAGGAGATACTCAAAAAACTTCACTCCAGACTTAATTAAAATATTAGCCACTTAAGCAGGAAGCAGGTTCTTTTTAAACGAGAAGTAATTTTTAAACTAAGCATATCAAAATCTCATAACACATTATACTAATTAAGGAAACATGGGACACTTTTCTAATGTCACCCCTCACAGGTCAATCTATTTCTTTTGTCTGGATTACAGATACATTCAAAGACCTCTCTTTTTAATAGAAGATTATAAAACAATATTACTAGTACAAAAATTACCTACTTAGCTAGTTATATCAATGATTTCATCTATTTATGCTTCAAGGTAGAAGATGACGATTTCTCTTGCTGACTTCAACAGGGGGATAATTATAGAAACAATAGTCTTATTAGTCATTTTATTTACTTAACAGTTGTGTCTTGGGACAACACAGAAGCAGATTATCTCTGAGTATGCACATAAATAGGTTGCTAGTTGGCACTCCTGCTGTGCTTCATAGCCCCGAGGCTTGATTTTACCCTCTTTTATCAAAAGCTGAAAGTGATACAAAGTCAGCGTTCTGGGAAAGCCAAGGTGGTCCAAAGCATGAGAGATGAGTTTTGTGCTGATATTTTTACATGTTCATTTGCAAAGTCACTTAGGGGATCAATAGTACTTTTCCATAGCCCTGAACAAACCACACAAAATCAATAAAATGTGAGTTTGCATGTGGTTTGCAAGATGTAAAGTGCCTGGTAATCAGGTAATTTTACACAGTGTTAATACGCATAACTAGCAGCTGCTAATCAGCTTCTATCCATGGTCACCGATATGGGGGTCTGGAATTGCTCGGTGAAGGAAGAATT